AGAATACAGAGCATCACTTGCCCTAGAGTCCCTATCTATACCTTGCGGCTAATAGCCACCGATGGACCTCTGCTCCATATTATCCAATTCCCTCTTGAAGCCGTCCATGCTTGTAGCCGCCACCACCTTCTGTGGCAGTGAATTCCATGTGCTAATCACTCTTTGGGTGAAGAAGTAACCCGACTGTTCAGCAATTTCATTGATTGCCCACGAGTTCTTGTATTGTGAGAAAGGGAGAAAAGTACCTCTTTCATTTCCCTACCTGCTCTATCCCATGCATAATCTTATAAACCTCGATCATGTCATCCCTCAGCCTTCGTTTCTCCAAGCTAAAGTCCCAAACACTTTAACCTTTTTTCGTAGGTAAAGTGTTCCAACCCTTTTATCGTTCTAGTTGCCCTTTTCTGCACTTTTTCCAAAGCTATAATATCCTTTTTAAGGTGTGGCGACTGGAACAGTACACAGTATTCCAAATGAGGTCGCACCATTTATTTATACAGGGGCATTATGATACTGGCTGATTTGTTTCAATACCCTTCCTAATAATCCCCATCATAGCGTTGGCCCTTTTTATTACAGTCGCACACTGTCTCAACATTTTCAGTGAGTTATCTACTATGACTCCAAGATCTCTCTCTTGGTCAGTCTCTGCCAGTTTGGACCCCATCAAAGTGTATTTATAGTTAGGGTTTTTTGCTCCAATGTGCAATGCGGAGCCTCGGGAGGGCCATCAACAGGGCACGCCATAGAGTACACCCTTCAAAGCAGCCATTTTCTCCCGGGGAACTGATCTCTGTAGTATGGGGATCAGTTGTAAAAGTGGGAGAGGGGGACTGAGGGGACAAAATTTGGGAACCCCAAGTAAGCTGCAGGGCCCCCTGAAGCTGGTGTTGTGCTGCATTCATGGAAAGCTTTTTTAAAAAATTCCAATGCAGTTCTGACTGCAGCCACTTGGAGCGCAGGGAAGGCAGAGCACAGTAAGAAACACCCAGAGTCTACTGGCTGGGCCTTTTAGCAAAGTTTACTAGGAGGCTGAGGGAAACCATTTGCTGATCAGATCCAAAACCCTTTAGCCAAGCCAGCAGTGGAGCAAGGCAAGAGCAGCCAGGACACGCTTATGGTAATCATTGCCAGGATGTAGCCTCCTAACAAGGTCACTGTCAACCACAGTCTATGGTTTACTTTATCCTTTACTTCCACCTGGCTCCTCCACAGTCAGATCATGAAAAGGGGCAGCCCTGTTAGTGTGTGGTACCAACATTTTTAAAAAAAATCTTTTTATGGTATTTCTTTCATTTTGCTCTCTTCATTTCATGATCTCCCATTCATCTGTCCCCACTTTCTAATTTTTCTTTCTCCCCCCCCCCCCTTTTTTTCAGATCTACGCTGGTTGGCAACAGAACTAATTTAATAGCATAGCAGCTAACTTTTGTAAATATTGTGAACAGAAGTGGGAGTTAATAGTTCCGTATAATCTATCAAAATAGTAAAAGGATGCTGCCCCCCCCTCCACTGTTTACATGAATGATAAAATAAATTAATCTACCTTAGTGGCAACAAATGAGGAACAGAAGTTAGAGCATTTATTTATATCCTGCCTTTCTTCCCGAGGGGGACCCAAAGTGGCTTACATCATTCTCGTCTCCTCTGTTTTATTCTCACAACAACCCTGTGAGGTAGGTTAGGCTGAGAGTGTGTAACAGGTTCAAGGTCACTCAGCAAGCTTCCATGGGTTTCCATGGGTTTAAGCCTGGGTTTCCTAGGTCCTAGTCAGACACTTTAACCACTACACATGCCTAGCTTCTATTGCAAATAGCATGGGGGGTGGAGAGTGTGGAGGTAACCTGGGCAAGGATATTCCGATTACTTTCATTTTTGGCCCTGGAACTCCCACGGTCATCCTGAAGCTGGTGGTCAATTTTGAGATTCCTAGTTTTGTTTTCTGATGAGCTATGCCTGCCACACATGGTCAGACAGATGGATATGTGGTTCCTTTGATTTGTTTTGTTGCGATGTTTGGTTTGGATCAGGGTCGTATGGGGAGGCCCAGATGGAATCTTTTTCCAGGGGCCCTTGTGAAATATGTATGATGGCCTCACGGCAGTAGCATTGTTTTTCTGTGTGGAAAATTAGTGGCAGCTGTTAGTTGTGTTTGGGATAACCTACAGTGGTGCTTGGTAGTCCTGTGGTAGTGGACGCTCAACTTGCTGTCTGCCCCTGGTGAGCCCAGCCATTGACAATCAAGCTTTTTGCGCTGAGTACTATCCTGTGTATACTGTCTTGAGCTCTGTGGAGGAAAGACAGGATATGAAGGTTAAGAATAAAATGTATGACTGGAGCCCCTTCCAGATAACTTGACCTCAGTGTTCTGTGTTCATATCCTAAGGGCATAAGAGACGCCAATGTTGGATCAGGCCAAAGGCCCATCCAGTCCAACACTGTCACACAGTGGCCAAAAATACCAGGTGCCATCAGGAGGTCCACCAGTGGGGCCAGGACATTAGAAGCTCTCCCACTGTTGACCCCCCCAAACACCAAGAAGACAGAGCATCACTTGCCCCATTAGCCTTTTGTAGCCAAGCCTCTTTACACTTGTTCACAAAAGCTTCATTAAATTCATTTACTATTTTGAGTAAAGGTGTATTGGCATTGTCTCCCTCCTTTTCTCTCTCTAGTATTCTGGAATCCACCTTGGAAATTATTTGCCTTGAAAGGAATGAGTTAAATATATTTTGCCACTAATATTTAGCTGCTGCTAAAACATGATCATCTTTCCTTCAGATTCTATAATGTCTGGGTCTAGGAGAAACCTAGAAACCACACACAAGCTCAGCATGAGCAGCTGTTGCAGATGTGGTAATTCTGGGGCTGATTTCTTGCATAATGTGCTTGGAATTGTGACAGTCGAATTGGCTGTGCTACTTGGTATTATGGGCTATACAGAGAGTAACCTATATAAAGATACCAGCTCAATCTTTGCATGTTTTGTTCAGATGTCACAAGGGTATTATGGGTAAAGATAATTTGGGATTAATTGCTGTAACTGAACAAATCCCTTTTATTAAATTGCATGAGGATCTTGCCTGTAAAACCTTGCCATTAGGTAACTTGTTTCAGTGAAATGGTATATAATGTACAGCTCCAGGGAGGATTGCTAACTGAACGTCATGTTGTTGTATTTTGGTTTTAATGTTTTGGAATGCTTGGAATGTTAAAACTTCAAAATAGCTGAGGTTATTTATGTACCTTGTCTGAATATAATGTATTACATTTCTTTATATTGAAATTACATATTTGAAGGCTATCTGGCAATACTTGTCAGACATACTTTTAGAGGTACAGGAGCAGAGAATTGAGCAGAACGACATAGAAGGAGCTGTGCTGGATCAGACCAGTGCTCTGTTTGGTTCAGCATGCGGCTCCGAACAATGCTAATGAAATGTCACAGGGATGCCAACAAGCCAGGTTCATAGAAATAACCTTTTGACACTCTCCCAGCATCTGACAATCAGGACTCCTCTTGCCTGTGGAGGTCCCATTTGGCTATCATGCCTAATAGCTGGCAATAGACCTATCCTCTTTAAATCTGTTCGACCTCCTTTTAAAATCCAGCTACACCAGCAGTCATCTCTACAACTCATGGCCAATACTCCCTCTAAGCTGTGGAGTCTTGTGAGCAAAAATTCTACCTTGTGAGCTACTGGCATTAAAGTTGTGAGCGAGAGATTTGGCTGCCGTAAGTAATCAGTTTGCTCTGGAGCCCTCCTTCCTCAGCAAAGGCAAAAATGTGTGAGCTGGAGGCTAAAAAACTGTGAACTAGCTCACACTAACTCAGCTTAGAGGGAACACTGCTCATGGCAGTGAGGTCCACAAGTCAACTTCCCTAGGGGACCCATTGCTCATTTCCCTCAACTGTGGAAGCTGTCCATTCCTATCCCCTGCTTCCTCTTCTTTAATCACTTGCTGGTCCCTTAGCGGGCATGTTCTGTACCAGGGGTGTCGAACTCATTTGTTATGAGGGCCGGATCTGACATAAGTGAGACCTTGTTGGGCCGGGCCATGTGTATCATAAAATGTAATGCCAGGTAGTGGAGATATAAATTTTATAAAGGACATAAACACAAAGGGTTTTTTTACTTAAAATAAAAACATGCTAAAAACATTAGCACACTTGCAATATTTTGTTTATTTAACAGTGTCTGATAACTGACACCTCTTGCTTTGAATTATTGCATCAAAATGTCTGTGCTGTTGCAGACTTGAGTATGCTGCTCAGGTGTGTATCTGTAAGCTGCAAACCTACGATGATGCAGCAGCAGCAGAACTGGAAGAAGAAGCAGAAGACAGCCAGTTCCACGGTGGGCCTGACAGAAGCCCTCCAGGGGCCTGATCTGGCCCCCAGGCCGCACGTTTGACACTCTTGTTCTATACCATGACTGTTCAGTTCACTCAGAGTTCTATTAAGGAACTTTGTCAAATGCTTTTGGGAAGTGCCAGTAAATAGCATATACTGGATAGCAGAACTTCCCATTACAGAAACCATGCCAGGCAGTTCCTGTTCAGCAAGGCTCCATGTTTAACCATTCTGCCTTGAACACTTTATGCCAGTTTAGCCAGGATGTAAGTTAAGCTAACTGCTCCGTATTTTCCATGTTTGTTTATTTTTGGATTTATATCCATTTTTCTCTGGATCCATTTTTAAGGGCATAACCTTGGCTATTTTCCAGTCTTCTGGCACAGAGGCTATTGCAAACAGTAACATTAAGTATGGGGAGGCATGATGAATACTGGAAATGAATTCTGTGTATTTAGTTGGCAGGGTTTTTTAGCCATTCACTGGTTGAATGTAAAGTTAAAAACACTGGCCAACTGGAGGTCCCACTTAGGGGGAGCTTTTTTAAAAAAATGCACTAGGCTATAACGTGCATTAAGATATTGAGCTCAAAGCTTAGTGGGTTTGTTGCACTAACAGCTTTTTTCGTTTCTCCCTCTCCCTATAGATTCATAAGTCCACTGAACATGATCCTGGGTGGTGCTGTGGTAGTCCTGGTATTCACAGGATTTGTGTGGGCATCCCACAACAAAGAGTTTATTCGCAAGTTTAAGAAGCAGTATCCAGCCACATTTGTCATAGCCATCATTCTGTCAAGCTATTTCCTGATATCCTTTTTTGGAGGTGTCATGGTGTTCATGTTTGGAATCACGTTTCCTCTGCTGTGTGAGTTTCTTACATGCACGCACGTTCCAAACGCTGCTAAGAGTAAATATGGAGGCTGCTTACTTTTAAAATGGAAACGAAAGGCTCTTTCAGTATTGCTGAGAGCCACTGTATGTCCCTGAAGAAAGATTCCCTCTATTCCACCGCTCCTCACTTTAAAACAGAAAGGAAAATAAACAAAAGGAATGGAAGGAGGATGGAATGGCGTAATGAACTCCTCTGGCTTCAGTGGGACTTACTCCTCCTTCATTGCTCCCTCTCAGCATGGCAAACCAGAGAAAGATGTGCATTCATGGGGCTTGCCAAACCTTGAGGAACAGAAAATGGAAAAATGAATCCAAATTATCTTGTTTTAGCCCTTGGCTTAACTGGTGAACCTTGCAAGTGCTCCCTTGCTGCAGGAGAAGGATATGCTCTGGTTTCAGGTTATGCTAGGGTTGCCAAGTCCTCACCTCTTGTATAGCGGGGGAGTCCAGTCCTCGTCTGGGAGTCCATGCACGCGCGCCGCAATTACATCACCCGGAAGTGACGCAACTTCCGGGTAACGTGCTGACGCCGGGCATGGCATGTGCTTTGGGGGTGGGTTCCCCCCCGGGGCCTGATCCGCCGGCGGCGGGTAACGGGCCTCTCAGGCGGGGGTTTCCCCGCCCCCCGTGGGGACTTGGCAAGCCTAGGTTATGTAGTGGACTAAAGTGAACAGCTGAGGACTCATAGAAAGACTTCTGGTTTAAATCATAGGGCTTCAATCACTGTTGGCTCAGACCAACAGGCCTTGAGCTGGATGTTCCTTTGCTATCATACAAAGAGCAAAATGAGACAGGGAGACTGCCTGGTTTTCCCAGGGGCCTAGAGCAACCTAAGCCCTGGGATTTTTGTTCTCTCAGTCCCCCATCTTGACCATTCTGGCCATGTTGAGGTCAGTAAAAAAAACCTCTTGCATCAACTACACTAGGGTTGCCAAATGGTACTCACCTCCTTGGCGGGGGACTCCTGGGGATGTCCCGGTGCGCGCGCAATGTATTTACGTCGCCCGGATGTGACGTCGCACGCTGGGGGCGGGGCCACAGCCATTAGAGGGGGAAACAGTTTCCCCCTCAAATGGCTGTGGCCCCGCCCCCAGCGTGCGACGTCACATCCGGGTGACGTGCACGCGGGGGTGGGGTTTCCCCCGGGGGCCGATTCTGTCGCGTCAGAAATCAGGCCGCCAAAGCGGGGGATTCCCCGGCCCCCGGCCCCATTTGGCAACCCTAAACTACACTGATACTGAGAAACCAGTAGATGTCCTTAAAACTGTTGTGGGAGTAGGGTTGCCAATCTCCAGGTGGAAAATGGAGGTCTCCCAGAATTGTAACTGATCTCCAGACTTACAGAGATCCATTCCCCTGGAGAAAATGCCTGTTTTGGAGGGCGGACTTCATGGCGTTATACCCTGTTGAGCTCCCTCCCCTCTCTAAACCGTGCCCATCCCAGGACCCACCCCTAAAATTTCCAGGAATTTTCCAGCTCTGAGTTGGCTACCCTATGTTGGATGAATTTTAAAGCTTCGTTTTTATTTAGCTAGCAAATACACGGATTGCTAAGCCACTTTCTGTAGCCCATTGCCTTTTCCATCCATAGCTATGCTGTAAGACCCTTGTACTTCTTGGGGTAAATCCAGAAGACAGGATGATGCCACAGGCCTGTTAGTAATGATTAGCCATGAACTCTCTGGCTACCAGATTAATCCCTCAGAATTACCGTAATGACATTCATGAAGTATATGGCTGACCCCGTGTTGGTGGCCAGAGCACTGAGCTGAGTGCGACACTGTCTTTGACCAATGTGATCTCTTGGAGATACTGTGGTGATAAAATAGGCATTTATCAGGCAGTATCTGTTCACTGCCCTGGCCTGGATAGTCTAGGCTAGCCAGATCTATTCAGAGCTTGGAAGCTAAGCAGGGTTGGCCCTGGTCAGTATTTGGATGGGAGACCACCAAGGAGTACCAGGCTCGCTAAGCAGAGGCAGGCAATGGCAAACCGCCCCCTGAATGCTTCTTCCCTTGGAAACCCTGCAGGGTTGCCATAAATCAGCTGTGACTTGATGGCAAAAAAAAAAAAATCTGTTCATTAATGCTGGTTTCTTTTTCTCCCAGTGATGTTTATTCATGCTTCCTTGAGGCTTCGGAATATAAAGAACAAACTGGAAAATAAGATGGAAGTCATAGGGCTGAAGAAGACTCCGATGGGTATCGTTCTGGACCTCCTTGAACAACAGGAAGAAGGCATTAACAAGCTAGCTGACTACATAGCTAAAGCAAAGGAATAAGCCTGCATGCATGCAGCTTGGTTGATCTTAATAAGTCTATGTTGGGTCTGGGGATACACGAGATTACAAAGATAAAATATATCACAAGCTCTTCATGGTACTTCTGACCAGGGTGGGGAGGGGACAGTAACCTTTCCGTAACATGCGAGAATGCATGGGGCACAAATGCATTTGGTAGTTCACAGCACTTGCTTGTTTTCAGAGAAATAGTGGGCAGGGATGCTTTCGTCTAAAAACCCTTTTCCTGTATGTTTGCTTTTTTCTGAAGTGTGTAAATATGTGTGATAATGCGCTAAATGCAAGCAGTCCCGGTTTTAACTGACTATCCAACAAAGGCACTATTACCTACATCTAAAACTACCAAGGCTAAAGAATATTAATTTTTTCAATGGACCTCTTTAATGGTCTGTGTTCAAAAAATGTGGGGGCTTGATTTAGCCATATAAGATGAGCTTTGTAAGTTGTGATAAATGTAGATCTTTCAAACCAGCTTTTTTTTTCTGTACCAGAATTCCAAGTCTGCGTAGATAACATCTAGCAAATAGACATTCCTTCAGCATACCTATGCAGAATCCATTGTAATATGGTTGGGTGTTAATAACAAGAAGAACACTGTTTTGTTCACACCACATCTGACTGTTACATACATGCTTTAGTATATATGTAGTGGGACATTTAGGTATTTAAAAATAACTTTGCCAGGCTAAGTATCTGCTGTTTAATAGAATTATGGCTCTTAGGAAGCTTTGGTCTCTGTTGATATATTTATATAGATATATTTTACGGAATAAATGAACTGGAAATTCCTTCCTCTGATTCTCTGGTTTTGGTTGTTCTTAATTTGTACTAACAGTGAAGGTTGCTAGGCCTTTTCCCTATGTGGGGGGGGAGACATTCAAGGCCACCATCTTGTGGTGTGTTTCATGCATCTTTAACTTTTTGCCTGAAAGCCAGCTGCATGAATTTTATGCACAAAAGACATGTTTCTTATTGCTGTCTTCTTGTTTTTCCCCCCCTCTGCTCTGGTGCATTTGTGTGCAATGACCAGACTCTTTATTTGCGGAGATCTACACACAAGAGAAACTCCTAATGCAGCTTTTAGGCCTGATTTAGGATAATGCCTTCTTGCCTCCTCTTCCCCTTCCCCAGAAACTCATAGTCGCAACACCTCATTCCATATATAAATTATAAAATGAGCAGTATTTTGTTGAGGATATGTTCTCAATGTATTCCAGGGTTGTTTTTTAAAGCTTCTAGAGTGGACTTAATTTGTATGTCATCTTATTTTAATTACACAGAATAGTTCTTCCAACAACTAATTTAGCCTGTGGTTTCACTATATTGAGAGTTTTTAAAAATTAAAAATGGCAAAGAATAAAGTTGAATAAACACACAGAATGTTTCTGTCATCCTTTTAGTGATGCTTATTCATAGTGAAGTCTTTCTACAGACTGGTGATTTGTGCAAAATGGACCCCAGACAATTCATGGTAATGACAAGCATGACTGAGGGATAAAATGGAAAAGCTCTTTGGCTTTTTTGGCTTGTAAATAGTCATGGATGGTAGCAGTGACATGGGTTTTATCCTGCCTCAGTTGGCCAGTGTGTTGGTTTGCATTATCCTGAGAATGAAAGGTTTTATCTTGAGCGCTCCTTGGTCATTGCTCACTGTTTTCTGTGAACTGAAATTCTGTGAGCTGTGATTGCTTAGACATCTGGAGTCGTGAGGAATGGAACTGGATATATAGCAATAATTAGCTGCAGCACAAGTTGCTTTCTCAATCATACCCCTGTCTTTGGGCTGGATAGAATGTATCTGACTTTGTTCTAACCTAAAAGTTCAAAGTTATCACATTTCCTATAAAAGAAACTGAGGAGAGCTTGGATGTATGTCTGGTGTACCGGCCTCCTAGCACACCAGTTGATAGCCTGCTGAGCCTGCTGGAGACGGTAGCTGGCTGGGCCTTGGAGTTCCCACATCTGGTGGTGCTCGGGGACGCTGATGCTGCTGGCTCCTTGCAGGCATTGGATCTAGTGTCTTCCATGGCAGCACTGGGGCTCTCCCAAATTGTATCGGGTCACACACATCAAGCAGGCCACACCCCGGACTTAATCTTCGGGATGGAGTTGGATCTGGTCACTAAGGAGAAAGTGCCATGGTCAGATCACATGGTCCTCAACAATGTTCCCTCTAAGCTGTGGAGTCTTGTGAGCAAAAATTCCACTTTGTGAGCTACTGGCATTAAAGTTATGAGCAAGCTGTTTGGTGACTGCATCAATTAGTTTGCTCTGAAACCCTCCTTCCTGAGCTAAGGCAAAAATGCGTGAGCCGGAGGCAAAAAAACTGTGAGCTAGCTCACACTAACTCAGCTTAGAGGGAACACTGGTCCTGAAGGCCTAGATGGATGTTCCTACCCCACCCCATCTAAGCGGCAAGCTGATTTATGCTCGCCTACGGAGCCTAATGGATTCAATTGGTTTCCAGAATGCTCTGTGGGATCTGATGCCCCCGGTGACTCCTTAGATGTGCTGATAGAGGACTGGAATTCCCATCTCACTGAAGCCATCAATGGAGTTGCCCCCCCCCCCAGCATCCTCATCGCCCCCACTCAAAATGATCCCCTTGGTATACTGTGGAATTTAGCGGGATGAAGTGGGAGTTTAGACAACTAGAGCGAGTTTGGCGGTATGCTTGCAATGAAGCTACAAGAGCATCTTATAAGATGTTAATTAAGATGAGATGACAGTGAAGGCTACAAAAAGAGACTTTTAGTCAGCCTCCATCGCATCCGCTAGCTCTCACCCAGCACAATTGTTTAGATTAATTCAATCTTTAACCTCTCTGACAGAGAGAGCACAAAATATTAGTAATTCAGCTATTAGCTGAATTTGCAAGCTTTTTTGCAGATGAAGTCATGTTGCCCCACTATGACCTGCCAACCAGTGTTGATACAGTACAGAGAGCCAGTTTGGTGTAGTGGTTAAGTGTGCGGACTCTAATCTGGGAGAACCAGGTTTGATTCCCCACTCCTCCACTTGCACCTGCTGATGTGACCTTGGGTCAGTCACAAGCTCTGGCACAGCTGTCCTTGAGAAAGAGCAGTTTGTGTCAGAGTTCTCTCAGCCCCACCCACCTCACAGGGTGTCTGTTGTGGGGAGGGGAAGGGAAAGGAGTTTGTAGGCCGCTCTGAGACTCCAAGTGAAGGGCGGGGTATAAATCCAATCTCCTCTTCTTCTTCTACATGTACTGTACATGATACAGTACTTCTGCTTTCTTCTCTGGGGCTGCTCCTCTTTTAGGGGGGAAGGAAGAAGGAGTAAAGAGAGAGAGGGAACAAAATTGGAGTCCCAGCTTTAAGACCAATAACATTTTATTCAGGTATAAGCTTTTGTGCGCAAGCACACTTCCTTGGAGGGAGGGAAGGTGGGTAGGTGTATGGATTCTTTTGACAAGCACAGTGTACATTGCGGAAATTATTTTGGCTTATTCTGAAAAAAAATTAAATGATTGGATTTGTCTGTTCTTATCTGGATTTATTTTCTTTCAAAAAGATCTTGATTAGGAATTAGAACACTTGGATTGGTCCTTATATCTTGGAGAGTGGAGTGATTTCAGATGCCAAGTGGTAACAGCACACATTGGTAATGAGACCGGAAAACTAGGTCTCAATCCAGTCCAGAAGGATGCAATTCAGCAGTCTCTCTTTCTAATCTCCCTTTGAAATTCCTTTGTAAGAGCACTGCTACTCTTAGGTCAGCAACTGCATGTTGTGTTTTCTAATGTCAGACTTACATCTATTTATTCTCTGCATCCTCCTGGACTGAATCCTCCTGGATGGAACTGAGACTTAGATTTCCTATCTCATTATCAGTGTCGATATCTCCACAACTACTTCCCCTCTGCATATCACACCTAATCCAATCATGCCTGCTGTTGCCATTCAGCATCTGAAATAATCTTTATAAAATTGATATCTCTGGTACCTCATGTTTTTATAGCATGCATGGTCCGGCCTAACAAAGTGACGTTTATGTTAGATTCGGACCTCCTAACAAATAAGTTTGACACCTGTTCTAGAGCTCGTTGTATTTCTTCCCACAATGGGCCTTACTCCTAGTAAATAAATAAAATGGGAGGGGGAAATTAATTGTAATTTTCATGATGAAGCACAAGTTCAGTACAGCTTTCATCTACCTTTTAAAAAAATGTCAGAAGAATCTAAGGCTTGGATCCCATCAAATCTCTGCTGATGGAAGAATTTCTCTGGCTAACCCCAATGCTGTTCCTGGAGGTCAGGGGACCCCATGAACTGTATGAGGGGAGAGCCAGGTCTCAGGGGGGTGGGGGAGGGCAGGAGATTAACAAAAATCACCTCCCTTTCTCCCTTTCTGTCAGCCAAAATTATCAGCAGGATCCAATCCAGTAACTGTAACATACCTACTAAAATGCTACTTTTTAAAAAAGGGTTTGCGTGTGTGTAGTTATGCTAGGTTTGAGAGCTCTGGGTTGAGAAATAACTGGATGTTTTGGAGAGGGTGGGGTTTGAGGAGGCGTGGAACCTCAGCATGGTTATAATGCCATGGAGTCCACTGTCCAAAACAGCCATTTTCTCTAATGCAGAGTTTGCATCTGGAGATCAATTGTAATAGCAGGAGATCTCCAGGTACCACCTGGAGGCTAGCAAACCGAACATGCTGATAAGTTAGAGGCTTATGATTTTTATTACCTTGTAGTGTCTTCCGTAGGTATACTTTTTATTACTAATTTTCTACCTTCTACCAGCATCTTCTCTTGCTCCTGACAAATGATCTCTACCTGCTATTGCTTATTTAAAGTTTTGTCTGTCTCACAAGGTATAATGGGCTGTGCCAGCAGAGAGACACTTGTATACAAAGCTAGAATGACTTTTTGACCTGCCTGAGAGTGATACATAGATGGGCCGTGTGCTCCAACGCACGAAACTTGGAAGTCACTCGACTAAGTTTACAAAGTGATGCTGTGTTTAGAAAAGCCCTGTGGGTGTGTTGTCTGTTTCTGCTGTCAACAACCTTCACTGCAGCTGTTCACTGTTGGCTGCTGCTCCTGCTACCTGGAATTCTGTAGCCCAGAGTCGAGAGGAGTAGCTGTTAACCATCTCCACCCCTCGCCGGTTCTTTTTTAAACAAAACCAGGGTCTATCTACCAGGGTCTATCTAGTATTCTGTTATCGGAATCAAGTACTTTAGAACTGTATTGTCTAGGATGCAGAATTCTATAAATCTCAAAGAATGGCCAAGAAGAAAAGCATGGAATCAAACATGTATAACCCTCTCCAATTTTGTGTGCTTTCAACAAGAGCTCTTGCAATACTCCCATCTTAAGCATTTGTCGTCCAGGGTGAAAATAAAATGTATCGACTAGATCGGGGGAAAT